TCAATAACAATGTAAAGTACTATATAAAATTGATAGTCATATGTCAAACTACTCCTTTGAAGAATTCCTTTGAAAAAAAATTACTGGATGAAGAACATCCAAATTTAGAAAGCAAGATGAAAGCTGCTCTCAAGGCACTTGAAAGAAATAAATCAACAGGAGTAGATGGGATACCAAGATAACTATTCCAAGCTACAAACTTTGAATCTACTGTATTAAAATCCTAACAAGAATATGCTGAATATTGAAAGCAAAACACAGTTTGGAAATATTCAATATATATTCCAATCCCCAAGAAAGGAGATGCCAAAGAGTGCAGTAGCTATAAGAAAACTTATAGAGCTTAAAGTACACTTTGGGTGGTTAACAAATAAATAATACAGACAACACATTGCCATCCCCCATTTTTACCTTTTATGGAGTGAGAAATGCCCAATATTCAAGCTGAATTCAGAAAAGGAAAGGCACTAGAGGTCATACTGGAAATATACATTGGCTGCTGGAGTATACCAAAGAATTTCAGATGATACGTGTACCAAAGAATTTCAAAAGAATATTAGTCTTTTTTCTGTGTTGATCATGTATGTTTATTTTCTAAAAGAAATTGTGTGCCTCAGCACTTGATAATCCTGATATTATATTACCAATACATCATGGATATAATATATTATATTATACCCATATTGCAGACAAGAATCTATGTTAGGACAAATTATGGGAAAACAGAACTGTTTCTGATATGCAAAGGATGTGTTTATCTCCCTGCCTGTTCAAATCTATATATGGAACATATCATATGGAAAGCTGAATTAGTTTCAGATGAAGGAGGATTGAAAACTGGAACAAGATATATAAATAATTTAACATATGCAAATGATAGACATATTACTGGCAGGAAGCAACAGTGACTTAAAACAAATGCAAAAACAGGGCATTGAATATTAAGACAAAAATCATATCTAATGTTGTCAATAAAGAAATCTACATTGTCAAAGATTTTCTGTGCCTTGGTCCAATCATCAATCCACATGGAGACTGAAGCAAAAAAAAAAAATCAGATGAAGGCTGAGACTTGGAAGGGGAGCTATGAAGGAACTAGAAAATAGCCTCAAGTGTAGGGTTGTGTCACTGGAGGCCAAGATGAAGATTATCTAAACTATAGTATTCCCAGTTACTTTGTATGGATTTGAGAGCTGAAAGGGAAAAGATGCTGAGGGAAAAATTGATTTATTTGAAATATGTTGTTGCAGGAGAGCTCTGCCAATGCCCTGGACAGTTGAAAGATAAATATGTGGGATCATATCAAGCTAGAACTCAAGTGTTAAGCAAGGTTGTTGATGACAAGACTTTTTAAGGGTAATTCATAGAGTCCCCATAAATGAGAATCAACTTGATGCCGCATAACAATAACAACGTGTGTCATATTGTGGTAGTGATCTAATCTTTCCTAACTAGGTAGAATGGCAGCCATGAATATGTCTGTCCATTAATTATTTCTTTTTCAACATTGTTAGTTGAATTTGCCCGTGAAGTCTTTAAAAGTGGCAGAAAACTATAGAAACATTTAGTACGCATGGGTACAGAGGACTTCGTAAGTACATTGACAGACAAAACATGGATGATTCTGCTTTCCAGATTCAAGACTACATTAGTTCCTGTTCATCTTAGGGGGAAACTACATTGACAAATGATAAAGGAATTCTCTGTGATTGGGAGAGTCAGATTCATATCACTTTTCCGTCAACTACACAACATACAAATCAGTGCAAATCATCCTGTTTTCTTTCCTCCCAATCCATTTTTTTCTCTGCTCAAGGTCTCTGCTTCCCCCCAGACTGAATACATTCACATAAGCACAGGCAGTCTGATAGCTTGTGCCACTGCACACCATTTGAGCCTTCTATACAATAGTATTGATGACACAAGTGACAAACAGTGGGATCAGTGTAGGATTTCATACTTGGTGATGACTTAAGAACCTTTGGTTGATATTCAGTACTTTTAAGGGGGTCAGCATCCATATATAACTGATCTCAGCTGTTTCCTTTTCAAGTCTCAATTTGCAGGGGTTTTTTTACAAAACAATAAAACATTTGAGAAATTGGTAAATTTGAAAAGTAATGACAAACATGGTTGGTAGCTTCAAACTGATCAAATGTAAAGCTTCACCTGTAGACTTGCACAAAGGAATGAGACAAGTTGGTCCCTTACAGCAGTGAAAGGAGAGTTTAAAAAATAGCCTGAAGAGTAGGCATTTGGAAATGGATTATCGATACACAATGGGATGTGACCAGCATGAAGAATCCACTTAATTCTTTCAGCTGCAATTGCAGACACATACGCAAAGCTGATATATCTATACTAAATATATTTATTTAAAGTATAATCCTGGTAAATTTTATATGTTAAAAAAATAAATAATAAGAAACAATTCACGGCACCCCATTGGTAGACATTCTCTCTACATTTAGACAAAGAAAAAAGTTGTTATATAAACACTAGGGCTAAATTCTACATTAGTGAAAAAATAAATATATTTAGTATAGATATATCAGAAACAATTCATGGCACCCCATTGGTAGCCATTCTCTCTACATTTAGAGACAGAAAAACAGTCGTTATATAAATACTAGGGCTAAATTCAACATTACTGAAGGTATAATCCTGGTAAATTTTATATGTTAAAAAAATAAATAATAAGAAACAATTCACGGCACCCCATTGGTAGACATTCTCTCTACATTTAGACAAAGAAAAAAGTTGTTATATAAACACTAGGGCTAAATTCTACATTAGTGAAAAGCAGAGTAAAAATGAATGGAGCATGTTAGATACAAGGAAAGTAAATTCCATTTACTTATTTACAAAAGTTCCATTTGTTTAAATAAGTCTACTCTACCTGGGACTAACATTGGATATATCATCATCATTATGAATAGTAGCAGTAATAGTAGCAACTGAGCAGAGTAAAAATGAATGGAGCATGTTAGTTACAAGGAAAGTAAGTTCTATTTGTTTAAATAAGTCTACTCTAGCTGGGACTAACATTGGTTATATCATCATTATTAATAGTAGCAGTAAGAGTAGCAACTGCCGCCGCTACCACCACCAGGATTGTTCTACTCCAACACAGGGAAACGAAGACAGTACATTGTGTCTTGAGCATCTGATAAGTGGCCCTTCCCACAAAACAACTGCCACTGCCGCCGCCACCACCACCACCACCAGGATTGTTCTACTCAAACACAGGAAAACAAAGACAGTACATTGTGTCTTGAGCATCTGGCCCTTCCCACAAAATTGTCATGACAAAATCAATTGATTTAAGAATGATTAAGCAAGATTTGTTCTTAGAAGTCTTATCCCCCTTGATTACAAATATCAATACAGTGTTTATAGATGAGCATCCACTCAATGTCCAGTCCTGAATCTGGAAGAACACAGCACTCAGTAATGATAACAGATGAAAAACAGTTTATGGTTGTAAAATGGACTGACTCATATAAAATGAATGTATATCCAGAGACAATTATTCTGTAACACATATAAAACATATATATCTACAACATAATATAGACTGCATAGATGGTTTACAACTGATTTTTGTTTTTATCTTATTATTCTTTTATTTCTAGAATGAAATATTTGGTTGTTTAAAATACCTCTGTTTAATCATCTGAAACCTGATACTTTTGGTTCTTTTCATAGGGGAAACTATACCTGCAAATTTCTTCCAGTTCTGCCAAGAAATAAAAAAGTAGTTGGCAGTTTGCTTGTTTTTAAGCAAACAATGAAGGCACTTATCCCTAAGATAAGGCTCATAACCTGACCAGTGTAATTCTTTCCTAAGAGGTTTCTACATCTGCAAATCTAACCAAACAGGATTTGATGAAGAGAAAGACAGTTACAGTCATTTTTTAATTTCCAGTGACAGAAAATGAGAGGCAGATTTCTGAACCTCGACTTGGATACAGCACTGAAGACCTTTGGCTTATTGATCCAAAAAGGGGTCATTTCATCTTAAGCGCTGTGGGTCATTTTTAAAAAGTGCTGAATTGGTGCCCAAATAAAACCTTGTGGTTGGTACATTATTCTAGTTTCTGTTAGTTTTGACACAAAACAACGTACAGTAATGTTTTCTCCATCCTCAGAAAAAGTGCCCTAGCCGTGCATAAGTATCTAGGCTGAATAGAAAGGAAAGACTCTTGTAACAAAAGAACATTAAAAACAAAACAAAACACAATGAACCTGTGAGCATTCAGAACAGTGGAGACAGTTGAATTCACAAAGAGACAGAATGGGAGAACATCTAAAGAAACCAGAAGTCAGACTACTGTATACCATTTGCAAAGGAAGCAAAAATTATTGCCTTTGGGCTCTGCTGGGGAACTTCAAAGAGATGTTAACGGCCAGCAGAGCAAACACCCTAATTCTTGTCATCTTGGGCTTTTTAAAAAAGTAAACAGCTAATTATTCCAACTATAATAACAAAGACACCTCTTGTTTCTTGTTCATATAAACCAAAATGAAAGAATAAATAAGAACATGTCTAAAATCAAACAAAAATGAGGAAAGGCATAAGATTATGTTGTTGAGTCATTCCATTTCAAGCAGTTAAGACTTAATTAGGAATGGGTCCTACGAGTTTCTGCCTTCAAAAGAAGTGAACATTTGGTAGTTTCAGATTACTTTTTCATTGCAATTTAAATACAAGTGAAATGCTGAATAGTTTCACATTAAGAAAGGCATAGCACATCAGTTTTTAGTTCTAGCTAAAGTAAAGCCACTGAAAAGAAAAACACAAGGTCAACACCAAGGTAAGTTCCATCAGTTTCAGCAGGTCTACTCAGGTTGGGATTAAAATTGGAATTATCCCAAAGGCAACAATCTTAAACCATTCAATTGGAAATACATTCAGTTGAAAGTAAAAGAATTTGATTCCTGAAGTGCCAGCCTCTTATGTATTTCAGCATACATAAGAGAAAAATACAAGACATTACCTGTCAGCATTGGTCAAATGTAGCATTCAAAATAATCCACAGTTGTACTTTCCCATACATCTATCTCTAATTAAAAGTGCTGGACTGACATTACCTATCTGCTTGCGTTGGTTCTCTGACAGCTTTGTTTGTGGGTGGTAGCTAAGCAATGCAATAGTGTAAGAAATTGGTTGGCTAATCAGCAGCAATGTCCCAGGTTTGTACTGGAAGCCTAGATGGGCATCTCCCGGCAGCAACACAAGTCAGCATTGTGACAGTATATTGTTTACAGTCTCTCCTTCATTTAAGGTGCTCAGATTTTAGCAATACACTAATAAGGAACTGAGGAGCAGCAAAAGGAACCTAAGAACTCAATTGGATTATCCGAGGCATCAAGATGGAGCACTGCTTAGGCGACTTCACTTTGCAGGAGATTTCTGCATCACCATTCACAACAATTCACAACAATTCACAATCATTGTTTTCTTGTAGAAAGCACCTGAGACAAGATTTTTATTTTAGCTCCAGAAGTTTTCTGACATGGATAATGATTCTGAACTCACTTTCCTGCAAGATAAGTAAACTATATTAAGTGAAGTCAAAACAACACAGAGCCTACGGGTATTTTAAGATTAATTAACTGTGGCATGAACTCTTTAACCCTGTGTCAGATTTATAGTGCTATCCTCAGAGGAGATAAATATGTCCCCCCCCCAACCTTGACGCCAAAAACACATAAAATACAAAGAGTAGCAATGTCTGAGGCAAATCTATGAAGAGTCAATTTAAAACAAGATTTAAAAAAAAACACATAAAAGCAGCTGACAGTGCCAGCGATACTATCTTTCTTGTTATGCTGATGAATACCAAGGCTACAGTGTCATATGTGGACGTGTCTGCTTAGACTTACGGTAATTCTGAGAGGGTTTGAAAATAATTGTAACCCTTACGGTACAACTGTTGATAAAAAGGTTCAGTGCTGTCTTAGTGGATACAGTGGCAGGCTTCTTACCCAGCCTACGGTCTTAGGGTCTTGTTCTGTTAGCCACCTAGTGTCACAGGCAGTAGTCATTTAAGATCAAAGTCTAAGCAAGGACAGAGCATAAGGTTCAGGGATAGAAACATTATATTGAATTTATGTTGCAATTATTCTATTTTTAAAATTTAAGCTTAATAATAAACATCCTGTACCTTCAAGTCAATTCTGACTTGTGATGACCATTTTCAATGTTTTCCAGCAAGAGAATACTAGAAGTGGTTTACCATTCCCTTCTCCTGGGGGCGCCCTACGACTATGCAGCTTACTCCAGGCCATGTAGGCTGCCTCTCCTTGAAACAGGCACAGTGGGGAATCAAGCTCCCAAACTCTGGCTCCATAGCCAGATACCTAAACCACAGAGCTATCCAGACAACTTTATTTAGGCTTAAGATGTAGGATATAAATTTTCAAATAATTAACTGTCCAGAATAGACGGTAGATTACTCATTATATTATTGCATACTCTCCCATTCTTAGAATAACCATGCTAGACACTGTCCCTGTAGAGCATCCTGCTCTTATCATCCTTTTCCATACCTCATTCTACCTCTCAGAGGGTCCTTCAATATAGCCATTACACTAGTGATGTCTGTATACCCTTCTGGATCAGTGATACATGAGGCAAAGCTGAAACCCAGACATCATGGAAAACATTTAGGCCACAAAAAAACCTGCACTGGCCTTAACAGTCTTAAAAATTTGCACGCCATTCTGTAGGCACAACACACAGGTCACTGAAGTCCTATTCCCAGGTTGAAGCTCTTTGCAAAGCAGTATCCTCTTACCTATAATTGCACACAGTTATCAGGATGGTGTCCTAGAAGTCCACTGAATGTATAGAAAGCTTGGAATCTTGGTGGTGGAACCCCCAGTTATTGAAGCAAGGGAAAAGGTTTGCAGTGAAGATTATTTATTCACTGCCTTGCAAGGCAGCAGCAAGAAACTCCTCAGACCAAGCCCCAAAATTCTTCTCAGCCACACACTCCTGATTTTTTTGTACCTTAGGCAAAGCAACAGCAAACCCATTGTGCTAACTGGCTTATCACATGATGTAGCCTTGAAACTTCTACAAGCAACAAGCACGGCTAGAACTCATCCTTACTTCCTTATCTCTTTCTTGCTACATGCAGCATGTGGATTTGTAAAATGGCAATCAACAAATGCTGGTATATTGGCTTTATATTTTCCCTTCCCCCCCCATCCCCAACACACTGTCTCACAGGTCCAGACAGTGACACTGCACTACTACTTCTTACTTCTTCCCTTGGGCACTTTTGGATATTTTCCAGTTATTTATTTACTGTATTCGCGAAGGCTTTCACGGCTGGGATCTAATGGCTGTTGTGGGTTTTTCAGGCTCTTTGGCCGTGTTCTGAAGGTGGTTGTTCCTAACATTTCGCCAGTCTCTGTGTGTGGGCGGCATCTTCAGAGGACAGCTCTCTGTCAGAACATGGCGAAAGAGCCCGAAAAACCCACAACAACTATTTATTTACTGTTTACTTACTCACACAGTACATATACAGTTTAAAGAGTGACTAACAAATGGAAGTATATAAGCAAAATGTTTCAAGTTTTGCCTTCCTTAGTTGCTCTGGTAAAAATACGCTGTTTTCCAGATGGTAGTTAGAAAACCTAGAGGACAGCATATTCCAAAGCAAATGAATAGTGATGTATGTTGCCCTTTAGGTTCAAAGAAATAGGTGGTAAGGTAGTTAGTATGTAAATCCAGAAGTTTTCCCTCTTTTCTAATGTGTTGGATTGGGTGATACCTGTTTTCCAACCAAAGACAAGACACATAGGCCATGATGTTCATTGCCTAGCCATTGCTTTTTGATTCCTGACTCTGGGCAGAGCACAGCTGACAAATAAAGCTAAAGGCAGACCCAGAGAGCTCGTGACCAGAGATCCCAAGCAGGACAGCAAACAGGGAGTTTGCTGTGGGGGCCCCTGACAATTTTTTTTTTGTTCCTTGGGTATACGTACAACTACATTTAAACTAACAAAACAGGAGGGTCAGATAACCTAAACAAACAACTGAAAGTAAAAAAGCTAGAAGGGATTATGGAGTGTGGAGACAACTCAGTTATGGTTACCTGCGAAGTTTGTGTTATGTTTGTCTTTCTTCCTGAGCACAAGATGCTATATACATGTAAGTGTAAACTGGTGGCACTGTTAGAAGAGAAAGTCAGAGCAGCAAGTAGCCACACTCAAAGCTATAAAGGAAGATGAAGCCTACATTGATAGTACTCTTGAGCAGCAGCAGCTGTCAGAGGGGGCACTGCTGATGGAAGAAAACCAAAACATTGCAGTGGAGGAAAATGCTGTAGAGGCTACAAACATAGTGGAGGAACCACCATGGAAAAGAACCAGTTAGGAGCAAAAGAAGGAGAAGACACTTTTCCCCGGCGGAACTACAAAACAGCTTTCAGTTACTTGAAGAAGAGTCTGTCAGACAGGACACGGAGGAGACTCCACAGGAGGGCATGAGTAGCGCTGAAGCACAGCAGAATACAGTCACTGAACCCACACCCTACAAAAAGGAGAGGAGAGTAGTTGTAGTAGGGGAATCCCTGTTACATGGAATTGAGACCGAAATTTGCTGGGAGGACCCACGGACTCACCAGATATGCTGTCTCCCTGGAGGATGGATAAGGGATGTGATACTGTAGAAGGATTGCCATCACTTATAAAACCTACAGATACATATCCCTTTCTTTTTGTCCATATGGGAACAAATGACACAGCCAAGAGGAGCTACTGAGAAATCACATCTGACTTCGAAGCTCTGGGAAGGAAACTCAAGGACTTTGGGGCCCAGATAGTTTTTAATTCCATCCTACCGGAAGAAGCTCCTCAGACCAAGCCCCAAAATTCTTCTCAGCCACACACTCCTGATTTTTTTGTACCTTAGGCAAAGCAACAGCAAACCCATTGTGCTAACTGGCTTATCACATGATGTAGCCTTGAAACTTCTACAAGCAACAAGCACGGCTAGAACTCATCCTTACTTCCTTATCTCTTTCTTGCTACATGCAGCACGTGGATTTGTAAAATGGCAATCAACAACTGCTGGTATATTGACTTTATATCTTCCTTTCCCTGAAGCACAGAGTTAAGGGGAGATGAAGCCATGAAATAAATGCTAGGATGCACTACATTTTCCCTTTGCCGCACTGCCCTGCCTGCTTCTGATGGAGATGAAAGGGTCCATGACCAAATGGACTGAACTGTAGATATGAATTTTGCCTCTTGTAGTACTAAAATATCTAAAACAGCCAGGACATTTATGACAGGTGCTGGGCAAAGTTTCCAGAGACAGAGTCAGGCCTAGATGTTTCAAATTACCTTGCCTGCTTTGTCAGTGAAATTGTAATGACATTCTATTGTTGTTGTTGTTTCTCTGAATTCCATCTTAAGCCATTTTCTGACCATTCATAATAATGCTGTTTGTGAATATTCTGCACCAGTATATTATATATTTTTAAATCAAACATTTCATCCTATTGTCCTGAGGCCCCAATATATCTTTAGTAATCTTTTTCACCAAAAATAACCACCAGGATGACTTGACCGGTGGTAGTAATTTGGGGTAATTAAAGACTTTCTCCTTTTGTCCTGTAGCCCCCACAGGGTCCCAAACATGAAAGGGATTACTCATGACTTCTGAGGGCCTTGAAACAGGAGGAAATGTTTAATTTCTTTTAAAAAATGGCCCCATCTGACATCATTAAGTTTAAGTAATGGAACTTACACCAAAGAGCAGTTGGGTCAATACATAATATCTTCTGTAAGGAAAGAATTCAGACATTGCATAAACTATTTTATTTGTTTAACTGTGAACATTGAGTCTATGGTCTTTTACACTGGTTATGCCTTTACCCTCTAACTTGTGTGTTCTCAGTGCTGCACTTTCAAACTCAAATTAGTTTTATCTATTTAAAATATTTTACCCTGCTTTTTTCCTTAAAAGGATCCAAGGCAGCTTACATAATTAAAAGGGCAATATTTAACAGCTAAAACCAATGTATACAAATATTTAAAAGAATTAAACTAGTATCATATTAAAAGCAGTAATTAAAATCAATACTAAAAACACATTTAAAAGTAACAGAGCACAACAATCCAATTTGAAAAGCCCCTCTCAGACAGCCAGTCACTAAGGAAAAGCCTGTTTAAAGAGAAAGGTCTTTGCCTGCCTGTGGCAAGACAGCAAAGACTGGGCCGGCCTAGCTTCCTATGGGAGGGAGTTCCAGTGTCTGGGAGCCCCAAGCAGAGAAGACCCTCTCTCACATCCCCACCAAACCTGCCTGTGGGGTTAGTGGGATGGAGAGAAGGGCCTCCCCAGAAGAGGCCTTGATAGCCTTATAGACCCTTTCCAACTTCATGATTCTATGTTCTTAACGCCTGGGCAGGCTCATAGAGGGAGAGGGAGTCTTTTCGATAGATCACCAGATTAACATACTGCATGTGAGAAAGGTGTAGGGGAATAAGAAAAATAAAAAATTACCCCCTGCATGTTCTGCCAGTGTTTGTGCCTCAGCTTCTCCTTCTTCTACTGTACTTCTCTGAAGTAATAGCTACAGAATAATACCAATAGCGACTCAACACTCTGCACAGAACATCCCTAATAACCAGGAAACTTTCAGGGGGGAATGTAAAAATGTTGATTATAATGATTGATATCCTGTTGCTTTGTATAGTAAGGCCCACTAGAGTAGGCCCATTGAATCAATGGGAATTTGTTGTGTGAACTCCTCCATAAGTTCCAAATGGCCCTACTCTAGCACAGTAAATCGTAACGAGAATAGGTCCAATTGAATCAAAGGAACTTATGGAGGAATTCACTCAGCATATCCCCACTGAGTTAGTGGGCCTACTCTAGTGCAACTTACTACACTAAGCAACAGGATTTCAGCTGATAATATGGAGATACAAGCAGGATTGCCCAGATTCTCTGCATGCCACCCAGTGTGTTGACTCCAACAGCTGACCTGGATTGCCAGTTTTCTTTCTTTTTCTTTTTTTGTGAACTGAGTCTCTGTAGCCCTTATTATATGACATAAAACACTTTCGTTGAATTCCCAAAAAGAGGTCTCTAAGAATGATAAGGAAATGATAACATCCTTTTGGATGGATTGAGAGTATGCTATTGGTCTTTCGAACAACTGACTTAAATATATATTTGTATGGGTCTTACACCTAAGTAAATATATATAAATATTGAAATGCTTGTGTTTACTTTGTATCAAAGCTTAGAAAACTTACTTTTTGGACTATAATTCTTTAAATCTCCCAGCCCACATACTGTAGCATGTGGCTATGTAGGCTAGGGGGATTCTTCCATGTTGTAATCTAAAAAATAACCTTCTTCAGGGTGTATTACTAAGCAGTTTCCAAAAATACTGAGAAGAAATTGAAACAGAGAGAGAGAGAGAGAGAGAGAGAGAGAGAGAGAGAGAGAGAGAGAACATACTCCT